CCGGCCCCGCCCCCAGCCCCCGCCCGGCCTCACTCCGATCCTCGTCCCCTGCCCCGCTCCTACCGGACCGCCCCGCTCGGAGCCGTGCGGCGGCGCGGGGTCACTTAGCAACGGAAGAGCGGCGCGACGCCCGCCGCGGCCCCGCCCCCCAGGCCCCGCCCCCCGCGGCGCTCCCGGCCGTCGGTTCCCGCAGCGCGCGGCTCTAAAACGGGCCGGGCCCTTCGCGCCGTCAGCCCCCGAGCTGCTCCTGCCGCCCGTTCCTCCCCCCGCTGCTGCTCCGACCCATATTTGTCTTCGGGAGTTTCTGCTCGCCCTCCCCCTTCGCGCCGTGCTGTTGCTGCTCCTCCAAGGGGAAACCTGGGCTCCCCCTTCCCCCTCCTTTGGTCCCCCCCCATTGCCCGCTCCTGCTGTAACACCAGGACGAACTCTTAGGAAAGGAGCACTGCCCGGCACCACTCACTAAGAGCACAGTTTCTTTTTTTTTTTCTTTTTTTTTTTTTGCAGGAAAGATGGAAAGATTCAACCCCAGTGCAAAAGAAAGGTGATCTCAGCCTGCCCCACTACAGCCACCAGCACACCTGTAACAAAATCAAAGTTTAATGACAACAACCAGCACTGCTGCTGTGGAAGAGGACGGAGCTGGATCCCAGCAGAGGAGCTGTGGCCAGGCTCAGGAGTCACGGGCATCTTCATCCTTGGCTTCCACTCCAGGCTTCATTTCTGGATGGGGTTGGAGGAAGAAGACATCATTATCTCAGCCTTTGAACCACCTCAACCCAGCATCCTGGGCTTTTCTCAGTCAACTAGCCCCAGAGCTGGCTGTGCTAGCCCTGCAGTTACCATGCCAACAAGGATGCTAAATACAGCTCAATCTTTCTTTCTTTCCATATTTATTCATTTTAAAACCACAGACCGCAGGCTGCATGTTCAGGGCCAGGAAAAGATCGCAGACATTCTGGCTCCCACCCTGCCAGGGATGAGCTGTCTTGCAGAGCCCAGAAACCACAGTGAGCAGCTTGAGAAGACAGCAAAGAAGGTGCCCCCAGCTCCCCAAAAATCCAAACGTGAGAGAAGAAGCGTTGGTGTCTTGGGAGCCTGCCCACCACCCCACTGTCACAGTAACAGCAGAACATCACACCAGCACCCCAAAATTTAGTTTGCCCCCACCCATCAGTAGGCTGGGTTGTTGTCTTCGCCAAAAATGAGGACAACCCCCAGCCCCCCAATTAGCCCAGAGTTTGGGTTTAAGCCTCCAGCTCTGCAGTCTTCTCAGCAAAACTGTTCCTATAGCAACTCCTGCCCACGCATGGGCTCGTGGTAGCGTCGCGGCCCTGGCTGCCAGAACCAGTCCCTGGTCATAAAAAGGGAAGATGGAACCATCAGCCCCCTCAGCAACCCTCTGCAGCACCCCAGTCCAAAAAGCTTAAAGGTCTTGGCAACAGGTTAAGGGCCAGAGCAGACAGATTCTGCCTCACCCCTAAGGTGGAATGCAAAAATGCAGGTGCTGAGAAGACAGCAAATAGGTCATCTCTACCCCAGAAACACCAAGGAACCTACCGATGGCCTCGCCATTGCCCAGGGGCATACAAGCCTGGTGTTTGGGCTTGGTGGCCTCCAGCCCAGCCAGCAGCGTCATGAAGTCAACAACGGTGTCGATGTCCTGCTTCTCAGCAGTGGCCTCCCGCAAGGCACTGACAGCACTGAGGCGGCTGAAGGACGTCAGCTCGGAGATGTTGGCCCGGAGGAAGAGGAGGATGACATTGAGGTCGTTGATGGGACAGGTAAGCATCTTGCGACTGAGAAGGTCAAAGGCAGGCAACATCTCATAGACGGAGAGCAGCCCTTTGTCCCACTGACAGAGCTGCAGGGCACTGTAGATGACGACAGGCATAAGGAGGACATACACACCACCAACCGTGAGGCTGATGAGCTGGAAGACAGAGAAGAAGACCAGCTTGCAGGGTATGAGTGGGGGAACGTGAGGCTCATCCTGGAGCAGCCCTGTTTTGATGGAGCAGCTGAACTCATCCTGGAAGAAGATGTTGAGATGAAGGAAGACCAGGTAGAGGCAAGTAGCAGCCAAGAACAAGAGCAGGAGGAGGTTCCTCAGGAGGTAGATGATGACCAGGGAGTGGGAGTGCTGCTTGCAGGCAAGGTAGCGCTCCAGCAATGGGAACTCAAAGTACCTCTCCTGGCGAGCCCTGGAGAGAGAGTAGTGAGTTGGAGCCACCCCACTGCTTCACCAAAGCGAGTGAGGAGGTGACCAAAGGCAGTGTGTAGGGGCTATGACTGGATGCCTCCAGCACGCTGCCTCACCTCTCATACTCCTCCCAGAACTGCTCCGGATCATCGCTCGCCTGCTGGACCTTCCTCATGTGCTGCACCAGGCGCACGGAGCGGTTGTAGGACTTGTCCAGCTCATCGATGATGAAGAGGAGGTCAGAGTGGAGGGTGGGGGAGGCTGCATAACGCCACAGCAGGTAGGGCAGATACATGAGCACTGCCACCACCAGCAGTGAGTATGGGAAGACCTGAGGGAGACCACCTCTAGGTTAGGGTTCCCCAGGAGAGAGGGATTTTAGGGGGAGATGAGGTGGCTCAGCTACTTTGCCCTTCAGGATCCAGCCCCGCCAACACAACAGCAGGACCTGGTAGCACCCAGTCACTGAGGTGGTAGCCCCATGCCAGCCCACCAGTGTACCTTGAGAGCCCAAAGGGACTTGGTGACAGCACGTCCCTCAGCATCGAAGCCATGGTGGAGAAGTGAGTCCCAGCAAGCTGTGTCAGCATAGGCAGATTGCTTCCCCGTGAAGTTGGAGGGTGAGAAACAGCTGATCTGTGAACCTACGAGGAGGAGGGGAGCTGAGCAGGTAGGACAGGGCTCTTTGTAGCTATTTGTCCCTGTTGCAGTGTTTTCTGGCTGTCAGAGGGGCAAGGGCTTTACTATTTCTTGAATGTTTCCCTTTAAGCACAGCCACAGGTTCATAGCAGGAAAATTTGAACCAGACACAAACCAGCACAAAACCAAACACTGCAGGGCCACATAAAAACAGTGGCCAAATCCAGCTTTAGCTCAATGTTGTGATGCACAAAACAGGCTGTCAATGAAGCTCTGTGCTGCTATCACCAGCCTGCTCTCATTATCCAAGCAAGCACCAAACTCTGGGACAGTAAAATCCCCAAAGAGTCCCACGGAAGACCTCAACACCCCACTGACACCTCCCAGCAAAACAATCCTGCCTTTCTGATAGGAGCACTACAGGGTGCTGTGAGCAGAACAGCAGGTGAGAGGACGCATGGCTACACTCAGAGGGCTACCAGCAAGCAATTAAAAAAAAAAATAAAAAATCAATAAAAGCTATTACATCAAACAACAAAACCTCATCAGGTTGATTAAAATCAATTAAAAAACAACCAGTAATCCCAAGACAGAAAATTTAAAACCCCCAAAGTGGGATTTCCAAGCTATAATGTCACGCCAGTGAAAACATCAGGCTTTTACAGTTCTCACCACCCTAAAGCTGTCCCAGCAAGGCATGTGATACAAACGCTGTCCCCACAACTCACCAGCAGAGAACTCCCGGGCGAAGGCCAGCGAGACGAGGAAGAGGGGCAGCCCCACTGCGACGAACTTCAGCACGCGGTCGCTTGGCAGCTCCAGCCGCAAGCCTTTGGCACGGGAGCTGCTGGGCTCTGGGAGGAGGGCATCTGAAAGCATGTACTCGGCAGCCGTGTGTGACAGGGACATTTTTCTCTCCAGGAAGGGCCACGCCACGGGGAAATGGAGTCCAGTGCTGCTGCCTGGGAGTCCTGGTGCTGTCTGAGGTGCAACTAGCGTGGCGAGAGGCTTTGTATGGCTGGAAACATTGCATGCCAAGTGCTACCAACCAGGCAGCTGTAAATGACAGCTTAGATAGTGCATTAAATCAACTGATAATTACAGGGGAAGTCTTTCACTGGCAAGAATGCAAATGGCATGCCTCAAAATAGAAAAAAAACCTCGCAGTCACAGCACCATGGCCAAGGCAGCATTCCAGCCCAGCCACCATGGGTCCCAGCACGGACCAGATCCCCGTGGTTTTACTCCCCTCTGTCATAAGTAGATGTATTTCCAGCAACATGTTTGTGGGGCGTGGGGCTCCTGAACTATTTTTGTTTTCTGTAACAAGCAAGGATGGGGCATTACCCTAACCAAAAGCCCTAGCCAGGTACAGAGCGGTCTCATAGGGTACAAAGAGCCCCCTTCCAACATTCCTGCGTGTGCCAGGGCTGCTGGAGGAGGTCCTGCTGCCCAGTTCCCAAACCTTGGGGACAGGCCAAGTGGCACCAGGAGCTGAGAAGACATCAGTGATTGCACTGTTGAGATACACACCAGCTGTGGTTCCCTGTGTACCAGCTTTGCAATCTCCCCTTGCTCACCCTCTAATCTGGCTCCAGGGAAGCGCAGTGGGGACAAAGCAGCAAGCTCCACTGGGACAGGGATACAAATATTGGGATCTAGAAAAAAACAGTATGGAAATCAGGAGTTGGTGAGATGGAACAGAGGACAGAAAAGCTCCCAACTCTGCCAACTCTGGCAATATGACTGCTGCCCAAGAAGCCAACAGCCAAAGCCAGGAGAGCTCTGGGTTGCTCAGCCAAGCTGAGGGGAGTCCCTGCCATGCTGTGGCTCTGGGCAGCCTCTCAACACAGCCAGCACTTACAATTGCTGCCAAGTTTTACTTTTACTGTGTTGTTTCTGTTTTTTTGTGTTTTTTTTTTTTCCAGACAAAGGCAGTCTCCAAATTTGAGTGCCAGGATGTAAGATAGTACAGAAGGGCTGAGCCAAGGAAGTCCTGAACTGACTTGCATTACACTCAGAGCTGTTCAAAACCTGCCCAGGCACTGAGGTCCACCTGCCCTGACCACAGAGAGCCACACAACCTTCACCTTTGCAGAAGCTGGGTTCTTTATTGGACAGGGACAAGTTCAGAGCACAGAATGGTCAATGCCCAGTTTCCACCCAGCCTCATCACTATAAACAAGAGTGCACCCACCACGCTTTCTGCTCCAGATCAGGTATGGACTGTGGACAAGAAGTGCACAGAGGTTAAGCCAGCAACTCCATTACCCGGAAGGCAAGGTGTCTCCCAAGCAGCAGAACACAAACCTCATCACGCCACTTGCTGTGAGTGAAACACCAATGCAGCATAGCTGGATCCAGCACTACAGTGTGCCAGAAGTATGGAGATGCAAAGGATCAGTCCTGTTGACAAGCCGCGCTCTACTCCTTAGCAATGTCCAGCTCCAGCTTCCTCAGCGTCCTGTGGAAGAAGCTGGGTGGCTCACATACAAGGTCTATCTGCTTGCTCCCATTGGTGCCCAGCGGCAGGGAGAGGCGGTAGGCATGGAGATGCAGGGGGAGGTGGCGAGACTTGCTCTGCTGCAGCTTCAACCTCTTCAGAGTTATTTCAGGAAGCTTCTGCATTGAGGACAGAGTGGTGTGAGGACAGCCCTAACACACCTTCCATAACCCCATGTCAGCAGCCTGGTCTCAGAATCCCAGCATGTGCCACCAAGCAGCTGGTGCCTTCTCTGCCCTGCTCCATGGCACGGTATCTGCCTTACCTGTGGTGCCAGTTTGCTCCAGTGCGAGTATTTATGATCCCCCAGGATGGGGCACCCCAATCCATAGGCCAGGTGAACCCGGAGCTGGTGTTTCACTCCTGAGATAACAAGGAGAAAAGGAAAAACATCACATCTGTCACACTGGGCATCAGGTCTACACTCGCTACCCACCCAAAGCACCCTCATGCTAGGTAACCTTGTGCTGAGAGCCCTAGCAGCAAAACAGCACTGGTTCCCAGAGCCTTGGCCATGTTCTACAGCTTGTTCCTCCCTCTAGGACTGCCCCTGGCTGTACAGAAAGCAAAGCACAGGAATACCTGGCTAAGACTCACCTGTGATGGGGTGGAGCTCCAGCAGAGAGCAGGCAGATGAGCTAGCCAGAACGCGATACTGCGTCACAGCGTTTTCAGCATTGCGGTTCTTGCGGATTTTCAACACCTTTCCATCCTCAGGAGACATGCGGTAGTTTGGGGCCAGTGTCATCTGAACCACAGTAAGAGGATGAGCCCAGGGGAAGGGGAAAACAGCCCCAAACTGCAATTGAGAGGATACTTGCTCACCTTGTAGTGAGGTTGGTGGCTCTGCACCTCCCTCTCCACCATGGGAATTTCCACAATGCCCTCAGCAGGGTCTGGGCTCCCCACACTAATTGCCCTGCAAAGGAAAAGCAGAGGTCTGCATGATGCTGCTACAGCCCTTTGCACATCCAGCAGGATAGAAACTCTCCCTTACCCCTCACTTTTCTCCCCAGGAGAGACCCCCTTAACAGGGGACTCAAGCATTCATAGTCACACAGACAGTGGGATTGAGCGTACTCTCATCAAGTGTGCTGACGACATCAAGCTGAGTGGTGCAGTTGGTTCAAGGTCAGGTTGGATGGGGCCTTAGACAACCTGATCTGGTGGATAGCAACCCTGCCCATGATCTGTAATGTCTATTCCAACCTAAACCATTGTAAGATTCTATGATCAAACACCCATCACTTCTGCAGAGTTCCACATCCCCATATCTGCACAGTGGTGACACTTTACTGCTTGTCAAAGATAATTTTGGGGCTCTGGCCAGTCTAATCTAATGGTTGGTAACCCTACTTAAGGTAGACGAGTTGGAACTCAGTGATCCCTTGAGTCCCTTCCAACCTAAGCCCTTCTATGATTTTTCCTCCAAAACCTTTCCTACCAGTATATCTTTTCCACCTGGCGAGTTTTGAAGAGGAGCCGGATCCTGTCTGCTGCCTCTCTGCTCCGTGCCAACACCATCAAACCCGTTGTCTCCTTGTCCAGCCGATGACACAGGTGCAGTGGTTCAGCTTTCATGTTCATCAGCATCTTGGCCAAAATTGGCAGCACATCAGCAATACAGTTCTTGACCCCAGGGCCACCTGCAAAACCCAGACAGGCATTCACATCCCTGTCTAACTTCAATGCAATACAAAGGGACACGGCAGGATCTCCCCACCCTTGCTATTAACAGTGATCAGTGAGAGGGGTAGCACTACACAACTCTGCTTAAAAAATCAAAAACAAAAGCACATCAACATGGAATCACTAAGATAGAAAAAGACCACTAAGATCATCTCATCCAACTATCAGCCCATCCCCATCATACCCACTAAACCTTGTTTCCCCGTGCTACATCCACTTTTTTCTTCAGCACTTGCAGGGACAGTGACTCCACTACCTCCCTGGGCAGCTGGTTCCAACATCTCACTACTCCTTTTCAGAATAATTTTTTTCTAATGTCCAACTGAACCTCCTCAGCACAACGTAAAGCCATCAGCTCTCATCCCATCACTGTTACCTGGGAGCAGAGGCTGACCTCCACCTCACTACAACCTCCTCTCAGTGAGCAGCAGAGAGCAGTAACGTCTCCCCTGAGCCTTCTTTAAACTAAACAACCGCAGTTCCCTCAGTCGCTCCCTGTAAGATTTGCACTCTAGACCATTCACAGCTCTGTTGCCCTTCTCTGAATGAGCTCCAGAGCCTCCACGTCTTTGCTGCAGCAAGGAGCCCAACAGTGAACGCAGCACTCGAGGTGTAGCTGCACCAGTGTTCTGTAGGCACAATCACCTGCTCCTGCTGGCTGCACGTTTCTGATACAAGTCAGGATGCCACTGGCCTTCTTGACCAGCTGGGCACAATTCACCTGGCTGTCAGCTACTGCTCCCAGATCCTTTCCTTCCTTGCAGCTTCGCGCTCTGCCCCACACCCGTAGCGTTACAGGGTGTCGTTGTGAGTGGGCACTCGGTCTTGTTGAAGCTCGTCCCACCGGCCGCAGCCCTCCGGCGCAGCACGAAGCAACGGGGAACCGCCGGCCCCTCACCGTGCACGGGCAGTCCGTAGGGCTTGTTGAGCACCACCAGCTCCTCGTCCTGGTACACGGCCCGCTGCCGGAGCGCCTTGGCCAGCACGTTGTGGTGCACCCGCTGCAGCGCGGCCAGCTGCCGGGCCCGCCTCCGCGCCGGCTCCGCGGCCACCTGAAGGAATGGAGGAAGAGAAGCGGATGGAGGCGACCGGGCCCACGCCGCGAGCCCACGTGCCAGCTCCCGGCCGCGCTCACCTCTCGCTCCTCCTTTTTCTTTTTCTCCTCCTCGCTCCGCTTCGCCCGCAGCCGCTCCGCCAGCTCCTGCGCCCGCACCGCCCCCGCCGCCGTCCGCCGCAAGGCCTCACTCGGCCGCCGCCACAGCCGTCCACTGAGCGCCGCCATTTTCCCGGCCCTCCTCCGCTCCTCCCCTTCCGCCCGCCGGAAGGCGGTGCCTCAGCCCAGCGCCCAATGGGAAGGGCGGGGGGAGACGAACGACAGCACCGCCCGCCATTAGGAGAGGGCGAGACAACCCTTCAAGCCCAGGCACCCAATAGGAGGGCAGAGGGAGACGAGCGACTTCAGCGACCGCCTATAGGAAGCGGCAGTGCTCCGCCCCGCCCCGCCCCCGCCCGGCAGTTTGAAGGAGAGCGGCGGTTGGGAACCGGTCGCGGCCGCGGCGCCGGGAGGGAGCGGGTGAGGTGCGGCTCCGCGCGGGGGGTGCCGGCCGGCCGGGAGCCGCCCCGTGCTCGTGCCGTGCCGTATCGTGCCATATCGTGTCGTATCGTGTCGTGCCCCGGCAGCCCTCGGCGCCCCAGGCCCGGCCCCGTCCCCCCGCAGGCCGTAACGCAGCACCGCTACTTTTAAGGCCAACAGGAATTTATAAAAATCGCAAGGAAAAACGCATTTAAACCAAACCCGCGCAAAAAGCCGCCCTTCAGCGGCCCCCCCCCGGCCCCTCCCCCGTGCACAGGCGCTTGGCCGCCCGCTCGGCCTGCCCGCGGCCCCTGCGCAGGCACTGCTGGATGCGGGACTCCAGGCCCTCGCACCGGGGCCGCTCCAGCAGCGGTCTGTAGGCCCGGGCACGGACACCTTCCACAAAGCTGCTGGCCTGGTTGTGCACCGGAGGCTTCAGGTCTCCCCAGAGCACAGGGGCGGCATTCCCCGGGTCTGAAAAAGAAATTGAAACACACAGCGCTCTGCGGAAGCCGCAGCCCGAGGTTGGACAGGTGATGCTGCTGGGTGAGGAGCTGGCTGGAGGGCCGGGCCCAGAGCAGGGTAATGGAGCTAAATCCAGCTGGTGACCGGGCACCAGTGGTTCCCCGTGGGTCGGTGCTGGGGCCGGCCCTGTTTAATATCTCTGTGGATGATCTGGACGAGGGAATTGAGTGCAACCTCAGTACGTTTGCAGATGACACCAAGCTGGGAGGAGGTGTCGGTCTGCCAGGGTGTAGGAAGGGCCTACAGAGGGATCTGGCCAGGCTGATGGATGGGCTGAAGCCAATGGAACAATGAGATCAAGTGCTGGGCTCAGTTTGGATATTAGGAAAAATTTCTTGGCAGAAGGAGTAGTGAGATATTGGAACAGGGATGTGGTGGAGTCACCAGCCCTGAAGGGGTTCAGAAAAGCAGAGATGTGGCACCGAGGGACATGGTCAGTGGGTCAGTGGGCATGGTGGGGATGGGCTGATGGTTGGACTTGATGATCTTAAGAGGTCTCTTCCAACCTTAATGATTGTACGAACGACGCTTTCAACAATATTTGAATACCTACTTGTTTGGAACAAGTGACAAGACAATACCTACTTGTTTGGAACAATTCTGCCATCTCTTACCTTTCCCTGCAGCCATGGGAGCAGCGTCCAGGCCTCGTAACATGTTGTGCAGCACTTGAGTCTTGACGGCGTAGCTGGCCCAGAGCTGCTGCAGGTGGGTAACATTGAACTCCTGCACTTCCGGGTCATAATGCCACTGGATGTTCTCAAACTCACAGTCATACAGGACCAAGGGGAACTCCACGGCCATACTAGGAAAAAGGAGAGAAGGCGTTACAAACAGGCATGCTAGAGAAGGGTTGTGATAGGAAAGGGTCACTGCCTTAATGCAACAGCACAGCAGCCTGCCCATTCTGCTAATAACAGTGCTGCCTTTCACAAAAATGCTTTTCTGAATTAATTTTTACCAAATACAAAGGGTTAAGACCATCAATAACTTGTCCAGGAGCACAGCAACAAGAAAATCAGATCCTTAAGGCTATCTCATGGAGATGCCAGCAGTTTGCTTTCTTGCTATGTAGCCTGGGAGGTTGCTGCCCATACCTGTACTGTGGTTTTCGAGGGTTCTTCTCCACGTCCAACAGCTCGTCGATGATCTCTGGGCCCTCCATCCTTTGTCCAATCAGGAAGAGGATGGCCATCATGCAGCGCACTTGGTGGTAGAGGAATGCCTGTCCTGTCACCTCGAACTGGCACAGTCGGAAAGGGTCCCGCAGGCCACCTTCAGCTCCCCCATCCACCCACGTTACCTGGGCGCTGAGAATTGTTCTCTGGAAGTTGATGACGCCATTGGCCACGTCCATTTTGCAGAGGTTCCGGAAGTCGTGCGTCCCCACATAGCGCTGGGCTGCAGTGTGCATGAGGGCCACGTCCAGGTCTGCACAGGGGAAGAAGTAGCGGTAGGTCCTCTTGAGACAGCTGAACCGGGCACTGAAGTCTGGCTCCACGGGGGCCCAGGCCAGCACACGGATGTCAGGTGGGAGCACCCTGTTCAGAATGTGGGTGTAGCGGAGCTCTTCCTCAGATTTACTGCTTTTTCCCTCCGAATCACCCGTGCAACCATTTAGTTTCTTTTCCTCCGAGAGGTTAGAGCGAAGATCTAGGGAAATCACCTGCAAAATTGTGAAAACTAGGATTAGGTGGTGGATGGGCGTATTCAGTGTGTAAAGCCAAGTCTTCCTACACCTCTGCCTTGCATTTTGAAATGAATTCAGGATCTCCTACAGAGGAAGGTATCTTAAATCAGTCTCTTACCACTCCTTCCTGTGGGTAAAACTGCAAATGCCTCTGCTGAGCTTCCTAGCAGATGCTATAGATTCCTTTAATAAATCAGAAAAAGTTGCAAACTGCCTACATAGCATGGTCTCTAAATGGCTTCAGTCTGCAGGATACACATGTGCTTTTTTTTTTTTTTTTTTTTTTTTTTAATGGAGTTCATAACTTGAACCCATTACCAGCCGAACAGGCTTGGAATTGTGGTGTGGAAACAAGTGAATTAACACTGCAAGTCCGTGAGCATATCTAACTGTGCAAGAAAAGGTGGCCCACACCCTTACTTTGTGTGGTTTGCTTCATGAACTAGAGCAAGTGAGTGATGCAGGCTAAAACCACCCTACCATGGCAAAAGCTGGGGCAGGCCTGCTCCCTGAGCACAAGCAGGAGGGGAAGAGGAGGAAAGCAAAGCCACCATAAGGATCTGTGAGGAGGCTGAGCTTCCCTGATGGTTCCCTGCCACTGTGTGGGCCAGCTGCTCCTTTTCCTCTAGCTCCCACTCCCTCACTCTCTTCCACTGGCTGCAGCTCTCCTCAGACCCTTCCACACAGGGACTCAGTTTTCTCACTCTGTGGGAAGCATTCCCATTATTTTGCTGGGCTGTTAAGGCAGATGAGAGGGGTCTGCCAAGCACTGCAGTTGGCACAAGAGCAATATCTATATAGGCAGAGGAAGGGGCAGCTCCCCTTTCTGGCAACTCTGAGCTGGACTGACAGCTGACCCAACTCAGGAAATGGCAGCCTGAAATGCATTTCATCCTCTCCAAACAGCTCCAGTAAACAATTAGTGTCTGAAAAGTGTTTTAAAAAACAAATTCAACCTGCACTGTCACACAGTGAGCACTTGGCTCGTTGTCATTGACCAGTAACCCCATGAGATCTCCATCCTGAGTTCTACCACCCCCAGTGGAACCCATAAATCCATCCTGACCTGTCCAAAGGCACTGACTCCTTTGTCTGTCCGTCCACAGCGGTGATAGTTGGAGGTCTGTCTATTATCTACCAGCCGTGTCTTCTTCAGGGCTTCAAACAGCTTCTCTTCAATCGTGTTGCTGGTGTTCTCCTGGCTGGCAAAGCCTTGGTACCCCCAGCCGAGGTAGGCGATCCTCAGTGCCACGTGCCTGCGGCTGTGGGCACTGAAATCAAATGGCCGCTGCTGCTGCTTCTTGGATTTCCTGGAGGTCGAAGGGGTGTCCTTCACTGCAGTGCCCTCCTTCCCCTCTGACAACTTCTCTTGCAGCTGCTTCACCTCCTCCTCCAGGTCCTGCACCCTCCTCAGGAGCTGTTCTCGATCTGTGGCCCAGCTCCCATTGGCCATAGTGAGTCTCTTGGAGTCTTTAGCTGGTGGCTGGCAGCTCCTCAGGGCCTGCAAAGAAAGGAGGAAATCTGTGTTTCTACCTTTTTCTGCCTTTGCAGAATTGTTATCTGCACAATAATTCTTTAGCTTCTTTTTAATCACTCAGTGTGCCCAGAAGCACACAGTAACTGTCAGGGGTGCTTGGCTGAGATGATACACTTTGACTCAAGGCTGCAAATCTCTTTGGTGCTTTTAATCACGCATCTTCCTTCAGCCACCGCTGTCAGCAGCTCTGCTCTGGCAGCCCAGCACGGCGGCAGCTCATTCCCACATTTCCTGTGCAAAGCTGTCATGGAGCGGTTCCCATTCTCGCTGTGTTCAGCTAGCATCAACACTTCAGACAGCCTGCTAACAGCTACCAGTCATCCCGCAGCACCATCTGCTCGAACGTTTCGTAATGGCATCACTGCCACACGATTAAAACTTGCATTTCTAAACCCGTTTAATGGCATAAAGATAGCCCCAAACCTGCAGGCTTCAGTGGGAACACTGTCCATATCCCTTTTGCAGCCAATCCTTTGCCTTACCTCAATCACACAACTCAGCCTGAAGCTTTGCCTTTAGGCTATGATAGCCAATCTCTAAACAAACACTTTTTCCTTGTCTATGGAAATAAAAACACCCTTTTTTTGATGTCTTTAGTCACAACTAGGTACCGTGTTTTTGAGAGAACATACTGGTTTGCACAAAGGGAAAATCATTAAGATATCTGCCCAAGGCTTACAGTCACAGAGCGTACTGTGTCTGCCCTGCACTTGTCCATCATTTCATCGAACCTTCATATGCAATGTAATGCAATTTATGTGTGCCATGTACAACGCTGTACATAAGTTGTCTATAGGCAACTTCTTCTCTGGTTTGATGGAGCCTGAATCAGCACCACAAACCTGAGAAGTTTCAGGGTGGAGAAGAGCCAGAGTCAGACTTCACAGAGCCCCCTTCAGCCAACTTGAATGCACTGCAAGATATTAACCAAATTTCTTTTTGCAGGGTCCAACCAGCCCAGCAGAAACCATGGAGAACAGGCTGGAAGCAGACAGGCATTCATGTGCTGCTCTGAGTGATGAGGAGCTGGAAGGAGGCAGCGAGGGCCATGGAGCAGAAGGGGCACCTCTGTGCTGCAGTGCCTACACTGCGCTCACAGGGCTGCAGCCAGCCCGACCTCCATCCGAAGGGTTCCCCTGTGCAGAGCCCAGCGCTGCACCATGGTGCCCCAAGGGCTCGAGGAGGCAGGTGATGAAGAGGAAGGTGCTGAGGCGGAGACCTGACGGAGGAGTCCAGGTCTGTGACGAATCGATCACCAGACTGCCAGAGAGCACGGCCATGTGGAACCTGACACAGCAAATGCTTCAGCTGAGCACCGGTCCAGATGACAGCCTCTCCGAGGGGGAAATCGAGATGAGCAGCAGTTTTTTCCAACAGTTCCCCCCAGAGCCTTCCTATCAGCATCAGGGCGCTGAGTGCGATCCTCCCTTCCTTCTCAGGGTTGTGCAGAGCCAGAGTCCTCCCACCTCTCACTGCACAGCCACAACAGTGCAGCCCAAGTCCTTCATTCCCCCCAGGTTGGAGACGCTGCGTCAAAACCGCAGCAAAAGCGACCGGGTGGCCAAATATTTTGAGTACAAGCGAGAGTGGGAGCGGTTCCCTGTGCCAGGTGAGGACCAGCACAAGGACGTGCGCTGCAGCATTCGGGGGCGGATGCTCACACAGCACAGCCACCCCAGCAAACCGCAGCACACCTACGTCCCCAACACCTACACGGTGCCCACGGACAAGAAGAGGGCTGCCCTGCGCTGGGAAGTGCGCTGGGACCTGGCGAATGGCCTCATCCCCAGGAAAAACACCCCGTTCTGACGTCATCCTGGATGCTCTCCTCTTCCATCCAGAACTCAACTACTCTGGAAATCTTTCTGTTTATATAAGCGTGTTGATTGTAGTGTAAAACTTCTCCCAGCTCCCCAGGTTATTGGATTTCGGACATCCGTACTTCGCTGCTACACTGTTAGAAAGCTTCACTCTGAGTCACTGCTGGAAAGCCGAGGAAGCAGACAGGGAAAAGCCACTCAAACTGCATAACGAAGCGAGAGCTGTGATTTTTAAGTTGGAATGCTGCTGCTCCCCCGGACGGGGGCTGTGTGAGCTGTGTGATGTAGGGCAACTCGGCAACGTACTTCAATAAAGCGTGTCAGAAGGCCCATCGGAGTTGCGCGTTAAATGGAACCACGTGGCGCGGAGTCCTCCGGAACCGCCGCCCCGCCGCGCTCCAAGCGCCGCTTTTTCACCCCTTTCCTGACCTTCGCGGCGCGCATTTACGCCGTGCGGCGATTCCAGCTCCGGCTGGGATCGGAAGCGCCGACCCGAAAGGCCGAACCGCCCCGCGCTGCCCCACAACCCCCGCCCGTACCTGAGCCACCGCCGCCACTTCCGGTGCCGGTGCCGCTGCCCCGGAAGTGCCCGCCCCGCCGCGCGCCCGTCATGAATATTCACGACTGTTGAATATTCATGCCAACCGTCTTTAAGCAGCCGTTCAGCTCCCATTTAGGCCCAGCCTAGGATTTAAAAATCCCCCTTGTCGTTTCCCCCACGCAGGCAGTGCTCCCTCTGTGCCCCGCGCAGACGGGGTGGTTCTGTCCCAAAAGGGCTTTGCTTCCCCATTTCATCCCGCGCCCCGCCGCCAGGGGGCGCTGCCGGCCTTCGCTCTGCACGCAGCCGCCGCGCGCGCCCTCAGCCCCGCCCCCTCCCAGCCCCGTTCCCACGGCGGGGGGGCGGTTAATGCGCTTCGTAATGCTTGTGAGCATCTTTGCTGTTGTCTCCTCGTGCTTCTTAATGAGCCGTTTAACACGCATGTTGTCAAGTCCGCTGTGAGTGTGGGAATGACGTTTCAAAATGCTGCTAACGAATAACACAGAGCAGCGCGGTGCGGGCGGCCGCAGGGGGCGGGTCGGCCTGACCGGGGAAAAGGGGGAAAAGAGCCAAAAACCCAAAGCCAAAAGAAACCCGCGCTCGTGTCCCCCTCCTAAGCAAACAGACCAGAAGAAAGCAAACAACGCCTGCGGGTGCTCTCTTAAGTCAGCTGCGCAGGGCTGCCAAAAGGCGTCTGAAAGCACAAAGGGCAGCGCTGCAACGCAGGGCCAGTGCCTGGCGGCCGTGCCCACGTGTTGGCTGTGCCCACGTGTTTGTTGGCTGCCCCCAGGGCGGCTGTCCCACTCACGCCGCCCCACCACAAACCCTCACCCAGGGCGGTGCTGCAGAAGAGGCACCAGCAAAAGTGCGAAAGCTGAGGGTGAATTTGGGAGGGGTGAATAATAACTGACTGGGAGAGGATAACTGGGGGATGAACCCCCTTTTTTGAGGGGCGTTGCGGCTGCCCCATGGGTGCAGTGGGATGCAGCCCCGTCACACACACTGCAGACCCCCCTGCAGGGCAGCCCCGTCCCCTCCCGGCGCTGCCTTCCTGTGCCGCCGCCCCCCATCAATGTTTCATGGCCTGCAGAGAGCAGGAGATGAAATATCAAACCCCGCTCGGTGCCACGCGTCTGCTGCGTGTTCAAACCCCCCGTTATTGCTACAAAGTGGGGGTCGGACTGGATTTACCTCTTGTAAGGAGAAAAATGGGAAGAGGGAGGGATTGGCCACCTGTGGGGACTTCTTGGAGGAGGGACAGGTGGCAATGGCTCGTGCCATGAGTGCACCCATCCTCGTGCCTGGCACGGGGACAGCCAGATTGCAGCGGCGTTGGGTTTCTGCTGTCATTTCATTAATAATTAAAGATTAATCAGGGCCAATCCGGGGAAACCCGAGAGGAGGTCGGGCTGGGGAGCGCAGCGCAGCACGGGGGGCTCCCGGCATGGAGCGCTGGGGGGGCCCCTGGCTGCTCTCCCTGCTGCCGCTGATGGCGGTGGGTGAGTGCCGGGGTCCTCGTGGCACGGAGGGATGGAGCCGCGCCGCCGAGACGCGGCCAACACAGCGCACCTCTCCCCAGGCCAGCCGCTGGACGCCGGCTCTGCAGCCTACGAGGAGCGGACGGTGACGGGGATACGGGGCCGGGCGGTGGAGCTGAGCTGCGGGCTGGCAGCGCCAGCCGTGGTCTTCTGGAGCTTCGCGGCGATGGGGAGCGCGGGGCCGCCGCGGGCCGTGGCGGTGGGCTCCGGGCCGGAGGTGGCGGTGGCTCCTGGCGCGGGCGCGCTGGGCCGGGTCACGCTGCGCAACGGCACTCTGGAGCTGCGGGAGCTGCGGACGGCCGCCGCCGGGCGCTTCCTCTGCCAGGGGCTCTTCCCGGAGTGGGGCCGGCTCCGTGTGGGATACGCCGCCGTGATGCTGCGTGTGCTGGGTAAGGTCTCCCTCCTGCCAGCGCTCCGCGCGGCTCCCCTCGCCGACAGCCCGCACTGCTGCGTGCTGATAGACCATGAGGAGCCCCGCTGGGCAATGAAGTGCCCCACTGGCCAACACAACTCTGCACTCAACAAAGTAGCAACCCGCTGGCCAACCCCATTGCCTTGCCCACCAGCCACATAGCAGCTCATTAGCCACCTCCTATCTCCCTCCCTTGGCCAACCTGGTGTCCCGCTAGCCAACATGTGGACTCACTGACTCATACACATTCACTAGCCCACTAGCCACAGAATGTCAGAACTGGAAAGGGCACAACTGGATAAGGAAGGAGGGATGCAGGTGCTCTGGGCAGGGGGCTGGTGGCTTTGGGGACGCTCATGGCCCGGTACCCTCAGTGCCCGTCTCCAAACCTTTCGTGCGGCTGACGGCGGCGGCGGCAGCGGAGGGGACAGAGGTGGCCCTGACGTGCACTGTGCGGGAGGGGACGGCACCGCTCAGCTTCTCCTGGCAGCACCGGGAGCCCCATGGAAGACTCCTGGCAGCCCCCATGGGGCTGGGAGGCTCTGGGGCAGAGCTGCTCCTGGCACCCGCCAACCGCAGCCATGCTGGCTGGTACGCCTGCACTGCCCGCAATGAGGTCAACAACCGCACCAGTGAGCCCGTCTACCTCGACATCGTCTGTGAGTGCCCCGGGGCATGGCTCTGCTTCCCAGGGGGCCCTAAGGTGGGGGAGATTTTTCACCAGACTGGGGCAGCCCCAAGGGTTAAGATGCCACCACGATGCAGGTATGGCCACCTGGGTGCCTCCATGGCCACCAAGTGCCACATTGATCAGATGCACCAATGGCCATCATCCATCAACATCATAGTGCCTCTATGGCGACCAAGTACCATGCCTCCAAGGTGTATCTGTGGCCATCGTTCACCACCATCATGGTACCTCTATGGCTGGCACTGTGCCACCAAGGCCACTGTTCCCTGTGGTCCATCCATGGGCACCATGTATCATAGTGTGTTCACAGCCACTGTCCTGCATCACTTCTAAGGAGGTTTCACGGGTCAGGTTTCCACCAGTGGGAAGATGCCCTGATTAGAGCTGCGTCCCCTCAGCAGTGATGTCCCATGGCTAAAGGGCTCTGTGTCCCTGCAGATGGCCCTGATGAGCCGGCCATCAGCGTGGAGCCCTTCTCCCCGGAGCAGGGCAGCTTCTCTGCGGGCGAGCGGGAGGACGTGGTGCTGAGCTGCCTGGCGCCCTCCAACCCCCCCAGCCGTTACATCTGGCTGCACAATGGCTCCCAGGTGCACGTTGGCCAGACCTTTGTCATGTCGGCCATTGCCCGGGGCCAGGCAGGCACCTACACCTGCCTGGCTGAGAACACCCACCTCCAAACCCGCACCCAGGCCACCATCGTCCTCACCGTATACTGTAAGTACTGTGGCCCTGGCCCGGCGTGGTGACAACACGGTGCCTGGTGAGGATGTGGGCGGGAAGTACGTGATGGCACGATGAGGATGTTGGGGTGATGGCATGGAGGGGCCCCGCGGTGACAGCTCTATGCCCCACACAGATCCACCGGCTGGGAGCCCCAGCTGCTCTGCTCTGGCCACTGCTGACCTGCGGGACGTGGCCCTTCGGTGCCGTTGGCTGGGGGGATTCCCTCCAGCCCGGCTGCGCTGGGTGGGCCCTAGGGAGGAGGAGCGGGAGGAGGAGGAGGAGGAGCATGAAGAGGGGGCAGCGGGGCCCAGCTTTTCCATGGCCACCAGCATCGTGCCAGGGGCGGCCACGAGGAACGGCAGCTCCTTCGCCTGCGTGGCCACGCACCCTGCGCTGCGGGAGGGGGCTGTGTGCAGGACCACTCTGTGTGAGTGTGGACACATCCCCAAACTCCCACGTCCCTAAATTCCCCTCACCCTATTGCCCTTCAATCCACGTGCTATGGCTGCACTGCAGAGCACCCCAAAATGAAGCTGCATTGGCTGCCCCTTGCTACCCCAGCACTTTCTGGGGACAAAGGCAGGCAGGATGCGGCTCACCCCACCACCTGTCTCTTCCCAGGGATCCCGGCAGGCAGCCCCACATGCATGGCTGCGGCCACCAAGCATGACGAATACGTGATGCTGCGGTGCCGCTGGGAGGGGGGCACGCCGCCGGCCACGCTGCGCTGGTGGGACGGCCGGGGCCGGGCGCTGAGTGCCCCCACACCATCAGCCACTGTCCTGGTGCTGAGCACCGATACCAGCCTGAGGGGCCAGGACTTCGTCTGCGTAGCCGCGCACCCACTGCGAGCCACCAGCACCGAGTGCCGCCTCCGGCTGGGTAAGAGAGAACATCCCCGTGTGCTGTCCCCATCGTCGTGCCACGCCGGCCGAAGGCATGCCATCAGCAGCCCCTCTCTCTGCGCAGATGTCCCCGAGCTGGAGGTGGAGCGCGGCGAGGTGGCGGTGCTGGAGGGCGGCGAGGCACGGCTGGCGTGCCGGCAGCGCGGCGGCACCGAGCTGGGTGCCGAGATGGGCTGGTACGACCCGCAGGAGCGCGAGGTGCCGGCGGGCACCACCAAATACCGGCTGGAGCGCGGCGGGGCGTGGGCCAACCTCACCGTGCGCGATGCCGAGTGGCCGCAGGACGGTGGCACGTACCGCTGTGCCGCCGCCAACAGCGTGGGCACCGCCAGTCTCCCCGTCCGCCTCCGCGTGGATCGTGAGTCCCGGGGACGCGGCACGCATCCCCTGATGCGCGGGGAGGCGAGCTGTCCCACGGAGCGCCGTCTCGCCGCAGGGTACCCGGCCCCTCCCAACGTCACCATCAGCAAGCTGCGGTACACGCGGGCGCGCACCGAGGTGCGGCTGCAGTGGCGGACGCAGGGCGCGGGCAACCTGACCGGCTTCGTGGTGCAGCGGCGGCCGGCCAAGAAGCCCCAGCGCCGCGTGCCAGGCCCTTGGGAAACGGCCGCTGGAGACATCGAGCCGCACTCCCGCGACCGGCGCCTGGGGGGGCTCGACCCCCGCGTGGTCTATGCCTTCCGCGTCCTGGCTGTCAACCACCGCACGGCCGGGCACCCCTCCGAGGTGCAGACGCCAGGTGAAGCGGGCACGGGACAGCATGCCGTGCTCCTCCGGCGTCCTTGGGTGGTGCCAGGCACCGGTAGGGGATACAGAACACCCCGGGGCTGACTGCCTGTAGGCAGAGCAGGGAGTGAGCAGAGAAAGACAGAACTGCACCCCAGTGTGAGCAGCCATCAGTAGGTTTCAGAGCAAACAAGTGCAGGCTTCCGTCTTTCTCCTCCGTTTGTGCCAGGGATGCTCGGTGCTCCCCCAGCTCCCTTCTCTCCTGGTACCTCCGCACCATCCTGGCTGTTCCTCACCTCCTCACCTCCCCCATCCCAACGGCCTGATTTGCACTGCTCTCTTCCAGCTGAGCCGCCCTTCGAGGCGCTCCCGGCCGTGACTGGGGCAGCAGTGATGGGGATGCTGGTGGCCACCTCCATGTCTCTGCTGGCTGTGCACTACATCGCTCGCCATCGGGACCGCCTGCCACGTGAGTGTTGGGGGCCTCAACAGGGGGCAAAACCCCAACACCCCCATCTGACGTCCGTCTGTCCATTCATAGGGCTGCACGAGCTGCTGTTCCGCATGTGAGTGCCTCAACCCTTGCCATGCACCCAGCCCTCTCCTTCATCTCGTTGCTCACCTGAGAGTCCCATGCCCCCAGGGCTGGCCCCGATGCGCCACAGCTTGCTGAGGATGCCAACGTGGCCGTGAGCACAGAGGATGGAGAAGGACAGGGACAGGAGGAGCCAGGTGGCCCCAGCACAGCAGCCATGGAAGGTAGAAGGTGGGCAGAGCCACCAGAGTGGTGGTACAGCCTGGTGCGACTGAGGCTCTCCATCCCATCCCATTGCAGAAGAGCCACGCTCAGCCCCACCAGGTGATCCTGCGGATGACGCACCGGTGGAGGTCAGCATCACGGTGACAGCCACGCCTTGAGCATGGCACACTCCTGAGACACCCCTCCTCCTCACTGCTGCTGTTCCTGGGGGATGAGAGCTGGGATGTGGCAACAGCACCCCTTGGACAGCCCCATCCTCCTGCACTGTGCTGTACCCCACTGCTTCCTTTGCCTCAATAAAGGCTGCAAGAATGCAGATGCAGTGGGGATCTTCTTCCACAAAGCCTCAGTCTGGGTGGGGAGGGAGCAGAGGGACTGCAAACCCAGGAATGGGGACCCCAGGAGGCAAGGGTGAAGCTGTGGAATTCTCAGCCTTTACCCTTTATGAGGAAAGGGGCTTCACCCACAGGAAATGTCCCCACATCACCCCTCCTGGCACCCGACTGTCATTAACCCGTGGCTGCTGGTGCTGGGCTGCAGGTAAAGCGCCACAGAGGAAATCTTTTGGGCTGCTTTATTGTGCTCCAACATGGACCGCCAGCAAACCAGGGCCTGGCTCTGCTGCTCTGCAGTGGGGGGAGATGCATCACTGCTCCCAGGGAGCAGGAGGAGCTGGGATGGTTGGGGCAGGGGAGACTTCTGCCTGGAGAGCATGGAGGAGGCGGCCCTCAGCTTTGTGTTTATGCAAGAGAGGGGAGGTCCTGGCACTGCCCTGCATCTCGTGAACGATCCGCCCAACCTCAGCGCAGTGCCGCACCGGCACCAATCACCACTCTGCCATCCCATCGAGCAGCAGCATTCACTTTAATATTTATCAAACCACCAAAACAAAACAAAAAAAAAATCAACACGCAACAACTACATCATTCCAACACATGTGCAATTTCCAAAGAAATATCACATCTTCTTCGGAAAATAGAGTGTATTTACCCACATGCCAACAAGCACACATCTGGAGCGCAGCACAGCACAGCACTGCAGCAGCGATGCGTTCAGAGGTACACGGAGGAACACAGAGAGGTTTGTCCATTTTTTTCTCTAAAGGCCCAAAGATGGGGAGAAAAGGGGCTGATGCACACAGGGTTGTTGAACTCGGTGCTTGGGGAAAGCAGGGAGCTGCAAGGCGCCGGGAGCCCAGCAGAGCTCGCTGCTGGTTCTGGGAAAGAGAGGAGCACTGCCAAAGCCACGGGGAAGGATGGGGTTTGGGTGGGCAAAGCAGAGCAGAGGGAGGAGCGGGGCTGTGCACGCAGCCTGAAGGCAGGGTGCTCCCGTGGGATCGGCGGGAGGTTTGGAATTGGGCACATGGAGGTGGCAGCACGCACCGAAACCCTACAGTGAAAGCAGAGCTCAGACACATTTTAAAATAAAATACAATAAATGGAAGACAAACACTTAAAACAGTGTCACTCACTATAAATAAAGCAGCCTGCAGAGAGGTGCAGCTGACAGGGCAGATCGCAGCCCCCCACATCCATCGCTGCCCGCCCGGCTCAGCCCACGGCCCCGCTCCATCTGACACCAGAGCTGCTCCATCCGACCGAGCTCACACCAGCATCCTGCGTCGGCATCAAGAAAGCAGAGCAGCAAATCCGGGGAAGGGTACTGCCCTCATGTGGTGCTTGTTGGGTAGCTTTGCCTCCCTCTGGCACGCGCTCAGTCTTGCAGACATGAGAACTAAAGCGTGCAGAGGGGAGAAACCACGGCACGCAGCACAGCATCGCCGCCAGGCTCTGGGCATAAAGCATAACCAGAATCCTACCTGCATGGTAGCCCAGCTCCGAGCCAACACGCTCTCTATTTACGGGCTCTATTTATAAAGCACATAACACGTTATTTTGCACCTCCGTGCTGTACACAGAGCAGACATTCAGTGCGGAACGGAGCTTTGGGTCGGGCACGGCTCCGAGCCGCACCTGCAGCGCTCCGCCCCCCCCAGCCCCTTCCTGCTCAGCCCGGGCTGCACGTGGAGCCGTGGGCAGCTGTAATGGTGATGAAGGCACCCAGCAGCCGGGGCTACGCGCTGCTTTCTGGAAAGAGTGCTTTACGAGCACAGCTTCATTGCATTTAGTCTGATTAAATTTGGAAGGAAAAAACCACAACCAACCACCAAAAAACCACGGCTGCAGCACCTCCACGTGCTGCACGGCACAGCACAGCCAAGCAGTGCTGATCCCCTTCTGCCCACTCCCAGCAGAGCAGTCTGAGTGCAGCCCAACCCAGCGCAGCCCCGCGCACCCAAAGCACCATTAAAGCCTCTCAGCAGCGCTCCTCTGCCGGCTCCATGGAACACACACTGCACATTTCCCATCGTTGTTCTTTATATTATTACCAATCTTTTTTGTTTATATACACAGAACCAGGCTAGTTTCACGGTGCATGGGAAAAAAAGGAATCTCAAGGCATAAATAATATAAAAAGGCAACCATTTAAAAACAAGATACATTCATATGACACTACTACAAAAAATAAATAGTGACTCTCTCTGTTATAATTAAGGCCCCTCCATCAGTCCCTCCAGCGCTCCCCTCAGCTCTCCTGCAGCGGTGGCTGCCCAGAACCATGCAGCGTTGCAGTCCAGCCCGCTTTGTCCCTGCAGTCCTTGGGCACAGGCTGCAGAACCAGCGGGCTCCAGCTCAGAACGTGGTTTGGTGTTTCTGAGAGCGCACAGCTGTCACCTGCAAAGCAAGAGCAACGTGCTTTCAGCTCGAAGGCCTCATGAGCACACAGGAAATTCGGGTTACCGATCTTGGCAAAGCTTTCTGAGTGGGTTTACTCCCATAAAACCCTGAGGAAGCGTTGGGCAACAGCACAGCGCCTCGGCTCTACCCGAGCACATTGATGCTGCTATCCAAGAGGTTGGGATGACACGGCCCAGCTGCATCCCCCTGCTGCCCTCACCTCCAGCGTGGCTTTAGGCCACCCCAGATGCAGTAGGGAACGTGCAGTACCTCAGCCCCAGGTCTGCGTTGGGACCCCCTTGTGTCTGCTGTGGGCACAGGCAGCGACCAGCCGCAGCCTCACCACCTGCAGTGCGTCTGCAGGGTGAGCTCGTTTAGAGGCATCAGTCAGGAAAAGCACACTCAACTTCACCACCACTAGTCTGCAGGAGGTGGAACACAGCCCTTTTTCCAAAGGCCAGCTCTTTTGCGAGCCTAATTACCCGTCTCTGTGTTTAATTAAGGGCCATTTCTGCAGTGTCCCCGCGCCGGGTGCCGCCCATCCCCGCCTCACCATCCGTGTGCTCCACGCAGAGCGGCCCGGCGCTGCGCCTGCAGCAGGGCTGAGGGCTGGGCGGCTGCTCGGCTGTCTCCATGCTGTCCTCCTCCACCCGCCCGCCGTGCTCGGGGATGCTGGAGGCCAAACACATGGCAACCATGATGTGGCTCAGGGGCTTCATCTCCAGGCTGTCCTGCTGGTACGGAGCGACAATGGGCACGAGGGGCAGCGCGCTGCTGCTGAAAGTGCCGTTGGCTTTGGTGAAACACCTGAGGATGTGCCACAACCACAGAGTATTAAGGAAGGAAAAGACCTCTCAGATCACAAAGCCCAACCCACCCCGACTGTGCCCACTGCCCACGACCCTCAGTGCCACATCCCCACAGCTCTGGGACACCCCCAGGGACGATGACCCCCCTCCCTGGGCAGCTGTGCAGTGCAGCACTGCTCTTTGGAGGAGAGATTGTTCCTCATATCCAGCATGAGTGGGATACCAGGAGTTGCTGTGAGCCCTGATCGTCTGCACGTTCTCCCTTTCTACCACTCAACTTAGCATGAGAAACTGTGATTTTTAAGTACTTCACCATGTGTTATTTACTGTAGGGATCTTGCCAAGTGAGTTCTGAATGTATTTTTGGATCAATCCTAACATTAAGAGAAGGATCAAGCGTTTCTTCTCCCAACAGACAGCTGGAAACACTGCAAACATTTGCTCAGTTGCTTCCCCTGTCCGCTGTGACCCGACCATTGACTTGCAGGTCTCCACCAGGGCAGCCCCACACGGCGGCCTTTCGCCGCCAACAGAAAGAGCTCAGGTTTGAAACCCAAGCAGCAAACCAAAGTGCCTTGGGAAACAAATGCTGAAGTGTTATCAGAGTGGATGCAAACTACAAAAATACACTCAGCACCATAAAGGCAAAATCCCGAGTGGTGCAGCTCAGATCGCGACCCTGTGAGACACACAAGGGCTGTGAAATCAGAGTTAGCCTGCGAAATGAATTGTTATAGCCAAGGCATTTAACCTTCAACAGAAAGCAGCTCGAGGCCTTAACAGACACGCAGCCATTGCAGCAGGCAGGGAAAATGCCTGCAGTGTTTGCAGCTCCACTAACAATGTAGACTCAGCGAACATTTATACAAGCAAATCCTATGCACGACAGCCCAAAATCACACTTCACTGTGGTTTTATAGAAAACCATAATTACCACAAAAGTAAAAGGTTCACTTGTATAGCTGCCATAGACCAGGAAAGCACCCCCCAGTGCGCTCCCTGATGGGTACACAGGTAGAGCAGAAGCAAGGAGCCCAGAATGCAATGCAGTGCTGCCACCGTGTCCGTCTCACCTGTCCTGCAGTGCTCTTCCATCCCTGTCTGCCCGAACCCAGCCCTGACCCCAGCACTGAGCTATGGACGGAGCACAGCTCTGTGCTACATGTGAGCCCAGCACGACTCCCAGGCACTCAAGGGAAGGCTGAACAGGCTTCCAACTCCACGCACAGACCATAAGCCACGTGCCAAACGGACACAACTCAGAGCATCTCTTTGCTGCCAAGCATAGATAGAAGAGTGGCCTGCCCTGCTTTCCCCCCCTGACGAGCCCATCCATCTCACCACACATCGCTGTTTATTGCTGCTTACTGCACTGCTCAGAGCTGGCACCCACACAGCCCACGTGGGCTGCGAGCCCTCACCATGTGCGACCCTGCATGTTTCCCCCTATGACTGCTGGAAGGATTCCTTTCCAGAGTGCTTTTCCCCCCAGATGAGCTGAAGCGACAGTGCCACCTCCAGCCAGCACAGAGCTCCCCGGCCCCCGACCCGTCCTGCTGTGCCCACCGACCCCACAGTGCCATCGGGGCAGGGATGGAGCGCCTTCATGGCACTCACAGCTCCCCGCTCCGTCCTTCCGCCCTGAGCCGCCTCCAGATCATTATTCCAAGTACCAAAATACCACAAAAGCCACTGAAGAATCCACATGAAACACATCTGGGCTTCAAACAAATCCATTTATTAGTTTGCATTTCTTTCCACAGAGGTTTTGACTACACTCACTCATTATTTAAAAAATTCTTAGAGAAACCCATTTAAGATGTTTGGTTT